GTTGTCTATTTTTGTCCTGAGTTCATTTATCTGTTTATTCATCGTGTTCTCTCTTTCACTTTGGTGTTTATACAGTGCTTCTATGGTTTCCTTTATTTCTTTTTGTTTTTTCAAATTCTCTATTTTTGTTGTCTTGGAATTTCTTGAGTGTCTCCTGTACATTTTGTTGACCCTATCCAGTATCATCTCTATAAAATTCTCATTGAGTACCTGTAGTATGTCTTCTTTTAAATTTTCTTGTGGGCTTCATTGGGTCCTTTGGCATAGTTTATCTTCATTTTGTTGGAGTCTGGATCTGAGTACCTGTTTTCTTCATTCCCTCTGGTTCGTATAATTTTTTGCTGTGGGGAAACTGGTTTCCCTGTTTTTTCTGTCTTCCCGTCATTGTCTTTGGTGTTGTTACTGTCCCTGTACTGTGTGCAATTAAGTATTTTCTAGCTTGTAATAATAACAATGGTAATATTTAGAATGGAAGGGTGAGCTGAGATGGAAAGCAAGAAGTTAAAGAAATGGGAAAAACAAATACACATACTGGAAGGAGAAAACAGAACAAAGTATCAGACAAGAAGGTTTCAAAGGTATAAACAGGGAGCTTTAGTATAGTAATTGACAGTAAGCTGAACAGTCATTAGAGAGACAGAGAGAGGATTGAAAATCAAAAATAAAAAATAAAGATAAGAATAAAATAAAAAATTAGTAAATGAAAGAAAAATCTATTTATAAAAATGTATTGAAATAAAATGAAAAAATAGAAAATTTAAAAAAAAACCAAAAACCAAAAAACCTCCAAGTTCAAATGCAGTGAAGTCACAGTCTCCAATCCTGGAGATGGCGCCTCAGACGTTTTTCTGTAGTTGTCTCATCAAAGGGGATGCATAAACAAGAAAAAACTACACACACACGCACAAAAATAACCCCACCAAGTGTCACAAGTTCAAATGCAATACAGTTTCAGTAAGTTTTTCAGCTTGCAGGTGTAATTCGGTTGTTCTCTCATCAAAGGTAGGGAGAGAAAGAAAAAAAAAAGAGTCTGGAGACAGTTCTGAGAATGGTATCTGCAGCTGTGGCTTGCCTGCCTACTGCTGTCAGCTTGCTGTTGCTGGCGGCGTTATTTATGCAGATCTCTGGGGTGAGCTTAGCACTCACCTGGCCCTGCAGGCTTTGTTTGTTCAGATTTCTCCTGTGCGTGAGCCTCTGCTACAAGCTTTCCCCTTTCCAAGCACTGGGAAAAGTGACACTGTACCCATTGTCAGGCCTGCGTGTTTATTTACAGTTTATGTGGGAGGTGGGTCTTCCCTCCTCTCCTGTGCAGTTCTCCTCCCACCCTGTTTTCACAAGCTTTCCTGCTCCTGATTACTGGGCGGTGCTGCTACTCCTGCCAGCCACCATGTTTATTTACAGCTCACGTGGGAAGTGGGTCTTCCCTCCTCTCCTGTGGAGTTTTCCTCCCTCAGCCACTCTCACCAGCTTTCCTGCTCCTGGTTGCTGGGCGCGCGCCCCTGCTCCTGCCAGAGCCTCTCTGGCTGGCCCGGCTTGTTTATTTACAGTCCCGCGAAGGATTCCCTTTCCCCAATCTTTGGCACTCAGTGTGCCCCACCCTCTTTCCTGCGTGTCTTATTTGTTCTTATTGGTTATTACTCAGTTTCTCTTTTTTCCCCCAGGTGGAGGTCAGTCTGTCCAGGGGGCTATGCTGTTCTGGCCCAGGCTTGTCTGTGGGAGTACCGAGGTACCGCAAAGCTCACCTGTTCCGCATCTTCCCAAGCTGTTGGGCACTGGTGACTTGCGGCCTGGGGCCCCTCCTTGTTTCTCCATTTAACTTGAAGTGGAGATTCTCTGCGTCAGCAGAGGTGTGGAGGGGTCATAGTTATGCCTTTTCTCAGTGATTTTGCCTGCAAAGTGTGTCTCCAGCGTCTCTCCAAGATTTCACTATAGGAGGCTCGCTTTCTGCTTCCTCCCTCTAGCCGCCATCTTGGAATTCCTCGAAAAAAAGGTCTTAATTTAAGTGTTGTCTCCATGGAGTGTTGATGAAGGCAAGAGTAGATATTTAGTACCTCTGCTAGTTTGCACTTTTGTTCTGTGTCTTCTTAGGCTGCAGAGAGAAAAGGCTGGGGAGGCTGTTTCACCCCTTTTCTTATATGTGTTGATACTAGTTGGTCATTTGGAGTATGGAACTTGAGCTGGTTGGAAAAGCTTTGTTTCCCTTCTCATCAATACAGGATAGCATGGAACCAAAGTTCCCTTTGATATTGTTACTCTGTATAAGTTATTCTATGTAGCCTGAGGGCCTCCTGAGTTCTTCTATGCATCTAGATCTCAGGCACCCGGAGAAGAGGTCCACATGCAGATGGGGCAGTTAACTCTAGTATCCAGAGATGGGCCACCCATCCCAAGCTTTCTGGGATGTTGTTGTCTGACTGTTGTTGTCTGAGGTTCAGTCCCTGCACATAATCCAGTGTACCTGTTCTGTTTCCTAACCCTCTTTAGCTGGCTTCCTGAGATGGCAATCTAAAAGGGAAAGTGAGTTCCACCACATTCTGTGCCTCTCCCCACCCTGGCCCACCCCACATCGCACTGCATATGTTTTTGAATGAGCTTGCTTCACTGGCTGCCTGCTGGGGCCACATTGTACCATAAGGTACAGTAGGGACAGTATGGTAATACTTGCTGTGAGTTCCAAGGTAAAGAAAATACAGGGACTGTATACTAAAGCAGGGAGCATAGTAGCAATCTTCTGAAGATGGCTGCTCATTAAAGCAGCAGGTTTTTATGTTGGACCAAGGCAGAGGTCTTTTCAAACAGCAGCACACTATGCAGCTCCCGGATCAGATATGTTCAGTCTGCCTTTCTCTTCTGCATCTGTCTCTGTATGAATTCATCCCCACTCTGCCTTTTCCTCTTTCTCTTTACTCCTCCTCTCTACTGCACTTCATGACCTCAGTGGACTGATGCACTGTTTCTCATCATCTGTTATAACCTCAGATTCTCTGGGTCTCTCCAATAGTAAACTTTAGTGTGTTCCCTTAGTCACTCACCTCTTTGAGGAGCTGTTTTCTGGTTGTTCGATCCCCAGCTCCTGAAAAACCACAAGGTTCTGCTTTGGTTCTAATCTGCCATCTTGTCTCCTCTGAAAATCTATTAGTGTAAAAAAATACGTGGAGAATATCTATGTAGCTTCAGAGTTAGTAAGGTTTTTATAGTCTCAGTGTGCAGCTGTAGGGGAAGTATACTGTATAATATTTCATACTGTATATGAAAATTAAACAGTTTTTCTGCCAAGATTGGTGGTACATTTCTATAATCCCAACACTCTGGAACACAGAGGCAGGAGGATCATGAGTTCTCAACCACCCTGGGCTACGTAGTGAAACCTGAGACAAAACAAAAAGATTTTCTATAGCAAAGTCTCTGTATATAACATAAAGTGTGCAGTCACAGATCAAGGATCGGTAATCCATGTAATCAACAAAGTGTTGTGCAGTCAGGATGAATGAGAAGTTCCTGGGGCTTATGCTTCACAGATGAACTAAAATCGTGTTAAAATGATTAAAGTATCATTGAGGTCCAGTTACATGTAGGAACAGTCTTCTTTACCTACATTTCTGAGCTTCCAAAACTATATGCAATCCTTTAGAATATCACCTTTTTGACATATTGTTAGTCATATAATTATGGGGTACCCAAGAATGGAATGATTGAATTAACTAATTGACATATTCATCACCTTTTAAATATTTATCATTTCTTCCTCCTACCTAATTGCAACCAGCATCTTCCTGTTCTTCTGTCACCCTAGCATCTGGTACCCACTTTTCTACACTCTGCTTCTATGAGTTCTGTTGTTCTACATTTAATTCACAGTAAAATATGAAGAAATGTCAATAACTAATGTTGTACCATGAAATTTCATAGGATCAATCCTTTCCAGAGCATGAAAATGGTTTTCAGATTGGAATGAGATTAGAAGGCATTGATCCCCGACATCCATCAGTGTTCTGTGTGCTTTCTGTAGCTGAGGTAAGGGATGGTGTTATTGTCTTGGGCTGATTGCATGGTGACAGTTTTCAAGAGAGTAACAAATTGGAGTACTTTCTATCATAAATTTTAGTACATTAGGGATTTATTTTAGTCAGTAATGGGTGAAATATATTTCTTAGTGAATTTTTCCTTCCCCAAAAGATGAATTTTCCAATAAGTTCTTTATCAACTAGCATTTATTCTTGACTTAATTGGTAAATAGCTTTCACCTAAAGCTGATAATAATTCATGAATCCCACAATGCTGTTTTTTGCCTATTAACAGAGACATAATTATTCATGTTTTAGCTAATCTGATGAGAATGTATAGAATAATATTCGTGCATATAAGTTACTAATTTCTATAAAATACATTAATTTTATGAAAATTATCAACAGTGAACTGCCATTGATGAAACTAAAAGCTTGTAAAATGTTATATTTACTAAACATATTATTAAATCAATAAAGATGTATATTTCTAATAGTATTTGAACCTAAAGTCACATTCAGTTTACTTTATTTAGCCTATTAAAACTTGTATGGCATGCCTAGAGGATGTGTTTTCTCAGATTTTCAGTGTTCCACTTTGTCGAATATGCTGCATCCAATGTTAGAGTTGAAACAAAGGCCATATTTGCCTTATACTCTCTTGGAATATGAATTCAAGCCAGAGAGCATAAAATATAGTTTCTGAAAAATATTTGATCCATTGAATTAATTATTCAATTAAAATATGTAGATTTGACTATTAGCCTAAATAATAAATTTTTCAGAAGACTAGGTAAGCAATTGTGTGTACTTCATCACTGTTTTGTTTTAATCAGATGTCATGTCATATATAAATTTGTTTCTTAGTGAAACCATTTGCATAGATGGATTGACTCATGTTGATGGTACTGAAAAATATTTAAATAGTTTGTGAATTTTGTACCTGCTTCAGAAGTATGACACTTAATGAGTGATTGCAAACCTTCCATGTTGCAGGTGTGTTGGTTACCGGCTAAGACTTCATTTGATGTTATTAAGCAGCTATGATTTTTGGACCAATGCTGGTTCCCCTGACATTCATCCTGTAGGGTGGTGTGAGAAGACCAAACATGAATTGCACATCCCTAAGGGTAAGCCAGGATCAAATTTACCAACTGGAAAGAGTGTCACTTGTTATTTCAGTTTTATTTTAACAACATTACATGAAATACTAACAAGAGAACCTGGTGTGAACTAAGACCACATTGATACCATCCTTAGAAATGAGTATCTTTGTTTTTTATTGTTTATTCATTTATTCATATGTGCCTACATTGTTTGGGCCATCTGTCTCCCCTGCCCTCACCCCGTCCCTCTCTGCCCTTTCGCAGAAATAAGTGTCTTTAAAAGCAAAGTATTCATAACTTTTTAGGTCAGAAATTCTGATAAGGTAAGTTGGGCAGGAATAAAATATTATGACTATGTCAGCATCTTATTATACATAAAAGTCTATTAAACCTTACAAGGAGTGATGAAGTGATGCTTAATCATTGTTGAAATGAAATAATCCACTATATTAATGAAGCTGCACAGTGAAAAAATTTGATTTATTGTAAATAATGTGCTCTAAACCTAGGACTCATGGAAAGCATGAAACTGGAAAAATTTCACCATCAGTTTTCTTTTGATGGGAATTAAAGTCTTATCTTTGTCTCTTATTTTATGCTAGAGGAATCTGGGTCAGGCAGATGGGACTGAAACCTTTTTTATTTGCCATGAGCAAGTAAACTGAGGGTGTAGTCCATTGAGCCAGTTCCCTGCATGGATGTGCCATATTTTGGAGTCAGTTCATAGTCATTTTATTCTTAATAGTTAATTCAGCATGTCCCTTGCTATCTGCCTGGGGCTGATAGCAAGACTTCTGGATTTCATAGTTTCTGGTGACAGGCAATGGGCTCATTCATGCATTAAGTATGATGGAACCCTTGCTACATATAGGTGCTGGGATGGAACAGCAAATAAAGTCTCTATCTCCATGGGGCTTTACCTCCACAGGAGGGAAGGACTGAATATAACTGCAGGGCACACTTTCAGTTAGTGTAGTGGAGACGTGCCTCTTTGAGGACATGCAGTACCTTAGAGACTGAGACCAAAAGAGAGAGAAGCAATTTGACTCATTGGGTAAGAGTGAAAGCCAGAATAGGTGCTCTGAGTTGTGACTCCAATTGGCCAGGACGCAGCGTCTCAAGGAGACAAGCAGAGGAGGAAGATGAGAAAGCAGATGGAGTTAGAGGTGTGACCATGACCTTAAAGGCTGTGCAAGGAGTTTGACTTAATGTTCTCAATGTAAGGTCCAATCAGAAAATATTTACTGATCCTGTGTTATTTGAGCCATCTTTGTGTGAGCCATTTTAGGGCATATGAATGGAAAGATAACACATTTTTACTGGGAAACTTGTAAAGATAAGGAACAGAAAGTTGGGGATACCAGATGGTCCTTGGATTGTGAGGGGGGTTCCTATAATTTCCCCCATGTCTAGACCCCTAGATTGCAATATCATCACGATCTCTTATGATCTTTACAATATGGCTTATTCAGGAGTAGGAATAACATAGGGAGGTACTCACCCTTTTTCCCTTTCTGGAAAACTTTAATGGGAGATGAGAATCCCATCAGACCACCAGGGTACCAACTGTGTGTCTCAGTAGCGAATAATGTGCATGATGGAAAACCACACTCAATATTTTACTTTTAAATCATTTAAAAAACATCTCAACAACTTGAAGATTATAACTAAATCATTTGTGTTATGCTAAGGACATTGGATAGATAGATGATTTAACAATAATAGTAGTAGTAATACCTTTAATATGTATGTGATAATATTTTAAAGGTGTTTTGAGTAATGTGTCCTGTTTTTTAGGTTATAGAAAAGATAAATTTGTTTGGATGGATTACCTGAAGGCCTGCAAATTGCAAAATGCTCCTAAGAAATTATTCAGAAGCAGAAGTTCCGTAAGTATTTTCTTCCTCAGTATGAATCACATTTTCCTGATCTTAAATTTACATTATATTCTATTGTATTTTAATCCCTTAAGAAATTACAGAATCCCTTAATGTCCTATAATTCTTCTCACTTAATTTGCCAGTTTCCTATTGGCATGTCTCCTTCAAAAGTGCAATGAAATGCTTTAGTTAGATGTAGAAAGTTGAAAACTTTACATTTAAAGCCTGCTAAAATTTAAATTTGTTTTGAGGTGCTGGGGATTGAACTAAGGCGCTCATGCTTGCTAAGTAGGTGCTGTACTTCTTGAGCCATGCTCTCACCTCTTTTTGCTCTGTTCTTGAGATAGGGTCTCACTGGACGTCCAGAGTGGCCAAGCCCATAACCCTCCTATTTGAGCTTCCCGGTGTAGCTGTGGATGACGGGTACGTGCCACCACACCCAGTCATTGGTTGAAATAGGGTTTCATGAACTTTTTGCCCTGGCTCTTTTTGTCCTACAATCTTCCTGGTCTCCTTGTCCCAAGAGGCTTGAGCCACCATGCCTTACTAAAATGTTTTTTTATAAATGTTCTTCATTTTTGCTTGCTTTCAATGAGTTTTAGTCCTTTACACTTAGTTTGGTGAACCAGTAGCTACTCCAGGCTGACTTTGAATATTCCCAGCTTAAGTAGATTTATTGAAAACAAAAAGAACATTTCTTATAGACTCAAGGGGTATTGCGGGGATTTTGGTGGAGCAACCCAGTGAGCCTTCAGTTGACAATCATTTGCAACCCTGACTTCTCTTAGTTACTCTCTGGGCTCACTGGTGAGGCCAGTATACAAGGAGAAGTTGGGACAGTACAGAATTCTGGGCCCATGGGCCTTGTCACTGTATAGGCATCTTACTGAATTTCTACAGACTTCACTTTACTGATCTTGACATTCATGTTGTACAGTTGTTATATGTGTTTCTAGAAGAGTGTCAAAGAAAGGGAATTAATAAAATGTGAAAATGCTTTAAAATACAGTATGCTAAAGGAAAGTAAAAATCAATGTTCAGTTAAGATAGTAAAGAAATTGAGGGGAAAAAAACCCATGTCTTTTTTTATCCCCAGGTATTATGTGTATACTCCCTAAGTCCTAGGGCTGGCTAATTATGGCTATTCATACAAGGAATGGGGTTTTATAACTTACATGTTATTGTAAATAGTAGCCATGGTATTTTTTTATATTAAGAATGTACAGGAACTAAAAAGGGAATTTGCATTTCTAGTTGTAATTTTATTTATGAATTTGTGCATATGTATCTTAATATTGAGAAAGCCACTATTTTCAGATTTACTAATCAATTAATCTACTAATCAAATTAAATGGTATTTCAGTGCTAGAGGGCTTATCTTTCCCAGTTTTTCAAATGATAAATTTGGAACCATTCAAAGGTTTATGGGGAGCAGAAACACATTTGCTATGACTGTATTCAGTAAACATTGTGTTATAAAATTCATACAAATTACCTGTAAGAACTGAAGAGGGGAAAAGATGATAGGGAAGGGAAAGAAATCATCTTGCAGAACAAGTCCTCCAGAGGAGGTCTGGTTTCTCTGGGCTTTGTTCTGAGTGTGGGTGTGTTCCTCACATTTGCTGGCCTCCTTCCAGAGGTAGGTAAATGTCAAGATGCTGTAGACTTTGTTGATGCTAAACATCATAGAAGTATTGACAGTAGCTAAGTATTGTTTGGTATTCTATTTATTTTTGTGCCTCGACCCCTTCTGATTCTGTGTTAGAATGGGCCAGTGCCTAAGGAGTTTCAGGTCGGAATGAAGCTGGAGGCGGTCGACAGGAAGAACCCTTCTTTGGTGTGTGTGGCAACCATAGCAGATATTGTGGAAGATCGCCTCCGAGTGCATTTTGACAATTGGGATGATAGTTACGATTACTGGTGCGTTCATGTTTGGTTATTTTCATTCCAGTACTATCACCATTCTTATTATAACCCGTATCAGGAATTTAGTGGTTGCTCCCAAAGGAACTATTGAATTAAATTCCCCGAGAAACTTTTCCCCCATCCTCTCTGAGAAGTTACCCAGTGAGACCTCACCTGGAATAATATGAACAGTCCAGGGCTTTTCACTATACGTATGTTGTCTAGTTTGTAAGGGAAATGGTTTTGTGAAGAGGAAGTTAAGAAGTATATATACATATGTATACATATGTGTGAATGTATCTAGAGGTGGTTTTTTGGTCATTGTTTTGACCTGAAAAAAAATACTGAACTCAGCCTGTCACATAAAAGAAAAATCCAGGGAAAACAGGAGTAAATATTTGAAAGCATGTGGGGAGCGGAGAAAATTATGCTATGAAGCCATTAAACTAACATTGCACAAGCTGAAAGAGTTTACTAGATGAAAGCCTGAAATATAGAAGAAGTTATGGCAAAAATAATTTTTGTAGCATTTCCTCATAATGTATCCTGAATAATTGACAAGTCCCTGCCTGAGACTGTGGCTCTTCACAGGCATGGTGTTATCCTTTGAACTAAGAAGGGGAGCAGAGAGTAATTGTTGTATGTGCTTAGGTAGAATATTTGGGGTTCTTTGAAAAGGAGTGGAAGAAAAACTGTGTTCACCTGGAATCTGATTGGTCTGCCTTATTAAAATTAAATAGTAAAAACTGGTGGACAGATTTATTAAAATGTCCACTCTGGAGATATCACTGGTAATTCAGGTCCATGTCAAACCCCTCTTAATTTTATGCTTTTAAATTTAGAAAGATTATTCAAAACAGAAGTTTTATCATCCAGCCTACAAATACAAATTAGAAATTCTCTGTAGCTTTGAAGTACTGATTTCCATAGTATCTCTTCATATTCACAATGATCTTCATATTTGGATTCTTTCTCTGTTATTGAGTGATACTCTAACTTGGATCCCTGTTTTTGCAGGTGCGATATTAATAGTCCTTATGTCCAGCCAGTTGGTTGGTGTCACGAAAATGGAAGAACTCTGATAGCACCCCAAGGTGAGCAGACTGTCTGGGTTTTCTTTGAAGTGCTCTCTATTGAATGGCTATTCCCATTTTTATTTTTGTTTATTCAAATGATACATGATGAAAAAGGCTGTGCAGCAGCTGGTCCACCATCAGATGTCTAAAATTTGCATTACATTCCCCAAATGAAATTTCCATTTATAATGATGTATTAGGCAGACATTAAGAAATGTGGTTCAAAATTTTTTTAGTAATATTGGGTTTTGAACCCAAGGCCTCACACTTGCGAGGCAGGTGCTGTACCACTTGAGACATGTCCCTAGCCCTTTTTGCTTTAGTTTTTTTTTTTTTTTTTTTTTAGTTATTTTACATAAGGTATCACATTTGTGCCCAGTCCGGCTTGGACCACACCCTCATATTTACGCTTCCCATATAGCTGGGAAGCCACTGTGCCCACTTTTTATTAGTTGAGATGGAGTCTTGAGAACTTTTTGCCCAGGCTGGCCTTGAACCAGGATCATTCCAATCTTTTACCTTCCATGTAACTTGGATGACAGAAGAAGAGAGCACTGCCCACAGCTATTCATAGAGATGTGGTATCCCTATGTTTTTGCTGGGCTGGCCTTAAATCATGATCCTCCATTTTAGCCTATTAAGTAGCTATGATTTAAAGGTGTGAGCACTGATACACCTGCAGATAGGAAAGCTCTCCTTGCCCTTTCCTGCCCCTATCAGCTTCTTCTCTGTAGACTTCAGGGGTAGGCTCAGTGTCAAGCCCATCCCCCTTATCTCTGATGCTGGCTGAGTCTGTTCTGTCAGCCCATTCAGTATCAGGTATCAGGTGTCCAAGGCTAGGGGCTCAAGTGGTAGAGTACCTAACTAGCAAGATGAGGTCCGAGTTCAAACCTCAGTACTACCACAAAAAAAAATGAATTAGGTCCAGAATCCTGCTATAATTCATACGTCTAACAAAGGCCTAATCATAGGTCACCAAAGATTATTTTTTCCCATTGGTACCCTTACTGAATATCAGTTTACCATCGATTTATTAGTATATTACTGGACTCTTAATTCTCTTTCATTGATTTACATGTCTGTTCTTATGCCACCACCACCCTATCTTTATTACTTCTGGTCTGTAGTGAGTTTTGAAAATAGAAAATTATCTTCCAGCACTGTTCTTTTTTTTTTTTTTTTTAAAGATTGTGTTTGGTTCTTATGAGTCTCATGTGTTTCCTTGTGAATTTTAGAGTTAATTTGTCAACTTCTGTTAAGAAGCCAGCTGGGATTTTGATAGAGATTGCAGTGAATCTGTTGATCTATTTGGAAAGTGCTGCTGTTTCCATAGTATTAAGTGTTTCATCTCATGAGCACAGGACCTCTCTCCATCTGTTTAGTCTTCTTTAATTTTCTTTCAGTGGTAATTGTAGTTTTCAGTCTGAATGTCTTTCACTTACTTTAATGGATTTTTACTAAAATATTTGATTTTATTCAATTGAGATAAAATCCATGTAACATATAGTAAACTGTTTTAAAGTGTACAATTCAGTAGTCAGCTTTCAAAATGTTTTCACCACCTTGTAAAACAAGGTGAGCTCTTTCACTGCTGTGCCCCCATAATTTCTAATCATTTGTTTCTCGGTGGATTTGCCTGTCATGCATATATTATATAAAAGGAATTATATAATACATGAATTTTGTGTGCCTGTCTTCTCTTATCATAAGGGTTTTGAAGTTCATCTAAGTTGTGGTATCTATCCACAGTTAGTTTCTTTTTGTGCCTGAATAATATTCCTATATTTAGAATTTATTTGTCTATCAGTCTGGTGATGACATTTGGTTTGTTTGTAATTTTGGCTTATGAATTAGCTGCTGCACGCATTTATGTACAATTTTTGTATATACAAATGTCTTCATTTCTCTTTACTTTATACCAAGGAGTTGAATTGCTATGTTTAACATTTTAAGGAACTGAGAAACTGTTTTGTGGGACAGCTGTGCTGTTTTACATTCTTACCAGCAGTGTATGAAGTTTTCCATTTTCCACATCTTGACAACCCTTGCTATTTTCTGTTTCCTGATTAAAACTATCACACTGGATATGAAGTGATATCCCATTCTGAACCCTCTCCCCTTTTTGAGACAGAGTCTCACTGTATTGTCCTGGATGATCTGAAACTCACTTATGGCCTCAAACTCATGTTCCTGTAGAATCTGCCTCATGAGTGCTGAGATTATAGTGTGTACTATCATGCTCATCTGATTGTGATTTCGACTTTCATTTCCTTATTGATCACTCGTGTTAAACATCTTTTCTTATGCTTGTGGGCTAGCTGTGTATATTTTTTGAGAAATATCTATTCAGATTCTTCGCCCATGTTAAAATGGATTGTCTCATTATTTAAATATTATGTCCATTTATTCTTTCAAAAATTCTTTCTATATTCTGAATAGATGAGTAGATATTTTGATAGATAACTGATATATAATGTAGAAATGTTTGCTCCTATCATATTGATTGTATTTTCATTCTTGGCAATGTCCTTTGCATTAGTCAGCTTTGTATTATTGTAATTTGCATACTGTAAATACCTAAAGTAGCTAATTTTATAAAGTATAAAGGTTTGTATTGTTCACAGTTTTGGAGATTTAAGGACTTGGCATCTGTTCAGATCTCTTGAGGACTATGTGACATGGCAGGTGGCAGTGGCGGGATAGCGTCTCAAAGCAAGTGTAACACCTTGATCAAAAGTAGGTAAACAGAGGACAGGCAGGGCATTTGTAACAGTCCTCTAGGAGAACTCAAGGACTCCCATGCTTAGTATCTCATGTCCCCATTGACTTAGGGCTTCCACTATGTCTGACCTCCCAAGATTCCACCATGCCTCAGCAGTGCCTCCTGGTTCTCATACCTTTAGTAGATCCTGGAGGGATCCACAATAGATCCTTGTGGGACACTGAGACCACATAGCATCCTTTGATACACAGCATAAAAAATTTGGTTTAGTCTAATTTAGCTAGTTTCTCTTATGTTGCTTTTGTTTTTGGTATTAAGTCCGAGAATCTTTTGTCAAATTTGAGGCCATCGGGATGTTTTTTCCAATGAATTTTGTAGTTTTTGTTTCGGTCATTGATCCATTTTCATTGAGTTTGGGCATATGAAAGGAGATAGAGGTTCAGCTTAATTATTTTTCATCTAGTTATCCAGTTTTTCCAGTATCATTTTTGAAGTGACTTCCCACTGAATCGTCTTGGCACCATTTTTGAAAGTAAATTTACAACAGATGATTAGGCTCACTTCTGGACTCTCAGTCTACTCTGCATATATGTCTGTCTATATGCCATTACCATATTTTTATTACTGTATATTTGTTGTCAATTTTGAAATCACAAAGTGTGGGTTCTTCAGTTTCAAGAACAAAGTTCTCTTTGTTTATTTTGCATTCTTTGAAGTTCCATTGGAATTGAGGCTTAGCCTTTTTGTTTCTACAGAAAGAACTATTTTAATTTTGATACACATTGTATCAAATCTACAGATTGCTTTGGAGGAAATCCAACACCGAACAATGTTAAGTGTTCAAACCCATGAACATGGGATATTTGCCATTTATTTAGGTGTCCTTTAATTTCTTTCAGCAATGTTTTATATTCAGGTAACAAGGTTTTCACCTTTTTCTTAAATTTATTCCTATGTATTTTGTTCTTTTAGACAATATTGTAAATTAAATTATTTTCTTGTTTTGGAGTTGCTTATTGTTACCAAAAGAAATATGTTTGATTTTGTGTGTTGCAACTTTTTTTGAATTAGTTTCTTAGTTCTATATGTAATTTATGTGTGTATAGTTTTATGTTGCCATAGTCAGTTTGCTAATATTTATTGTGCTTTTTTTGTGTTTATGTTCATGACTCCATTCTTTTAAAAATATGTGTATTCCTAATAGAGTACACAAGGTCACTCTAAAGGCCTAAGGAAAAACAGAAGGAAGTAATAAGTGGAAAAAATTCAGTTGTTTTAGCATATTCATCCATGGTGTTATTTACTTGTCTTTATGAAAAACTCAACTCTGTCATGGAAGAGTTTTGTTCTTGTGACATTGGAGGGGATGGCCCTTCATGTTGCTTCCATTGAACTTCAGGCAGCTTCCCATTTGCTATGATGATATTTGAAGCACAAATTCAAATAGATCAAATATATTTGATGAGAGAGTTAAAGCTTAGAAACACGAGTGTATTAAAGTTATTATGCTTGTACTAACCACATGAGAGAGGAACATTTGAAGCCACAGCAAGTAGAGGGCTACTAAGGTAGGACAACAGAAGTCTGTGTACTTCAGGTACCTTGCAGTAGGCATTTAAATATTAGATTTTAAAAGAAGAACAACTGTAATCTTCAGATATTCTGTCTCCTCAGATAGGCTGGAGCTATGACTGCTTGATTTTCTGTATATTATTTCTAAATATAATATATGCATAAATATATACATACTATTACATACATAGATGTATAGGTTGAATATATCTTATCTGAAATTGTTAGGACCAAAGTGTTTTGAATTTGGAATTTTTGATTTTGCAATATTTTCATGTATATAATATACATACACATACATCTTGATATTATGTGTATACATTATATAATTATATAATATTACATTATATAATATTATATTACTTCTTGAGGATGCACCAAAGTCTAAACACAAATTAATTTATGTTTCATATGCTTGGAGGTGACTTTATACAATATTTTTAATGTCCACATTTAACTGTGACCCATCATGTAAGGTCCGGTGTGGATTTTTCAATTTTATGGTGTCATGTTGGTGTTTAAAATGTTTTGGAGTTTTAGGACTCTCAACTTGTATGTGTAAATATTTAGTGTTTAAATAAAGTAAAATATAAAGAAATTAAACATTGTCCACTTCGATGATTTATTTCTGTTAGTAATTGGGTTCCCAAAATTTGTTAGCTGGAGTTATTTTACTTAAAGTGAATTTCTGCTGTGAACATTATTTATGCTATGGAATTTTACATTAGACTTTATTTTATGTTTTCAGTTACACTGTTGTCAGAAAAAAAAGTGTTTGCTCTGTTTGTCATAGCTTATGTGTATATGGTGTAATTGCACTTCTGAGAGCAATTAAA